ACTCCGCAGAGTAGACAGAGGTTTAAGGTATTATCATTTCTATCAAGCAATATGAAAAAAGTCGTTGTTAATATTGTTAAAATAAACCAAAATATTATACGCAGCTACCTGTGTGCCCAACGAGCTATAGCGAATGAATGGTTGTGACTGGTTAAAAATTAGGAGTGCTTCCGGGTTACCATCATCACATGACCACAGTCATCCAATCACTTCACAGGACTTTTAAGGACAGTGTTTGTGAATAAATTTCACTTATTTTGGTGTTGTTAAAATAGCCCTCTTTTGGAATCAGTGGAACAATACAATGAAAAAATACAATGGAAAATTTTCATTATATAAATCTGAACAAAGTCACTCATCTGTCCTCCATACAAATACCTTTTAAATGAATTGTTGGTGTTTTGGTGCATAACAGTAAACACTGACAAGAAGAACATTTTAAAGAAGGAAAATAAACAGTCAGTGTTACAAAACAAAAAAAAACATTCTACAAGTTATATAAAAAGAAAATTTAGCAAATCACAGCTCTCATAAAAGTAATGAAAAATATTTACAATATTATTTAAGAGACAGCTGTATATGTATATATGTACATATTGCGCATAAATGTGCAAATTTTTTGCCGGTGAATGTGCAAAATCACACAGTATGCAGTGAAAACAACTTCAAAAGTGCGAACGGATTCTAATAGTTATATTTAAAAGCTGGGCTGCAATGTGGCTCTGTGGTTAGCACTGTTAGATTGCTGGTTCGTGTCCCAGTGAGGACACCTGGGATCTTTCTGCGTGGAGTTTACATGTTCTCCCCGTGCAGCGTGGGTTCTCTCCAGGTTCTCCGGCTTCCTCCCACAATGTCCAAAAACATGTTGAGGTTAATTGGGGATTCTAAATTGCCCGTGAATGTCAGTGTGCTTGGTTGTCTGTCTCTAAGTGTAGTCCTGTGATAGACTGGTGACCTGTCCAGGGTGTCCCCTGCCTTTGCCCTAAAACAGCTGGGATAGGCTCCAGGCCCTAGTGAGGATTAAGCGGTGTATGGATGATGGATGGATGGATGTGCGCCAAACATAGATAAAACTTGGCTGACCCAGTGTCATTGTAATGACTTATCATTTAATAATGGATGGATGGATATTTAAAAGCTGTGGTTGTAATGTAAATCATTGAGTCAGTGTCTGTGGTGTCTGTTGTGTTACACGGTATATCAACTGAAAACAAAAGAGAAAAGCGAAAAAATAAAAAAACATAGGTTGGTTGTGTACAATACCTGTCACATTCTACACACTATTTATATTAACAAAGGCCTGTCCAGTTAAAATCAGGACAAAGACTTTAATTCTAAAATTCTTTCCATATTTTTGTATAATTTGTTTTTGTTTAATGTAGTATGTGTGCCTGGGTTGGCTATCATTACTCACTTGTTTGACTGATGTCTAATATCTGAAAAAGCATAATACTGTATAAAGTCCAGTTGGGAAACTTAAATGAGACTGCTAAACCGGTCCCAGCCAGAGATACAGAGTAGAACATACAAAACAACGTTTGAATCCTCCACTGTTTAAAGAAACAAAGGTCAACAGACAAGTGAAACATTTACATCCGTCTGACTCCAATTCTGTGCAACGATGTAAAGAAAACATGAGTCTAGTGCTGCCTTTTAACATTTGTGTGAGAGGTTGTTTGTTTTAGTCAGCTGTGTATGTGTGTTTTGAATTCATCTGGTGTGAAGTACAAAGGGCCTCTTCTTTCATTTAATCCTGGACAAAGTTTTGACTCAGTGATTTTGTGTTTAGTTTGTCTGGTCAAAATATCCCTCACCTTCAGACCTCAGAGACACCCCCCTTTCATCATATTGGTTAAACTCACACAGGAACCTCCCCCTGAACTACAGCCAGAATCATACACAGGCCCACAACAGACTCTAAACTCCAAAAGTACTACACTCATCCAGCAGACACCTGCCCACAGACTTTCTCTTGGCAATGTGGTGCAGTCGTATGGCACTGCGTCGGCTCCAGAGGATCGCCATTGCTCCTTTGAATATCATTGGGGGTCTAACAAGCCAAACGCAAAGGGAGATGTCAACCCTGCCACGGGTGTATGTCACCCGACAGATCCCACCCGAGGGCCTGAAGATCCTCAAGGAATCTGGACAGTGAGTCACAGTGTCTTGTTATGTGACTTAAAATTTTTGATTTTCATATAGTGCATTCTGTATGATTAAATTATTGCCTGCTACAGCTAATTTGACAGTGACACTGTAATGCAGTTTGTCTGCTTTGTAAAGTTCATCATTTACTTTGAGTAAACAGGCCTGCAAATGTTTGCCTTTAGGTTGGTCAGATAAGAATGGTCGCCTAAAGGGTATTCCCCCACGAAACATCTGAACAAATGATGGCTTAAAGACCCAGTATTGCTATGAAGACTCAGCATGTATGTTATATTGTTAGAAAAACTGAATTTGTAGGATATATTTTCTAGGACATCTCTATGTATCAAGAATCCCTGAAGTATTCAAAATGTCCCTTTTCCTTTCATGGGATGTCTATTTTTGATTGATTTGTTTGTATTTTTGTACTGCTTGTGTGTGTTTTTGGAACATTTGACAACTAAATACCTCTGTGGGTTAAGAATGAAATTTAAATTTGATTTAGATATTTCTCGTGGTTTCTGTCTCCTCAGGGTGCAGTTTGAGCTGTGGGACTCAGATGACATCCCAGTGCCCAGGAAGGAGCTGCTTCAGAAGGTCAAAGGCGTCGATGGTCTGCTCTGTGTCCTGACAGAAAAGATTGATGCAGAACTGCTGGATGCTGCAGGTCTGTTCTTAAATCAGTTGAATAACTTCAATAAAACTGAACAGCTTCTCTGTTTATGCACATATTTGTGATGTACTCCTGTAGGTCCAAACCTGAAGGTCCTTAGTACCATGTCAGTGGGTTTTGATCATCTAACTTTAGAGGAGCTAAAGAAAAGGTGAATCCTATCTTTCTATTCGTAATGCTCATTAAAGTCTACAGGGTTCCTATGTGTATAAACTTTGCAGGACCTTGCTTATGTGTGTAAAATTATGTGCAATGTTTCCCTGTAGAGGGATCCGTGTAGGTTACACCCCTGACGTTCTGACGGATGCTGTTGCTGAGCTGACTGTAGCTCTGCTGCTCACAACCTCCAGGAGGCTCGTAGAGGCCACTCATGAAGCCAAGACGTAATATTATAAACACAATCACACACATGGACCCAAAACGTGCATGCAGAAATGCCATTTAAATTTTGCAAACACAACCCCTTTTCTTTTTGTTGTCAAATTGTTAATATCGTTCTGTCTCTCGCTCTTGTCAGTGGTGGATGGGGAACATGGAGAACTCTGTGGCTGTGTGGACACGAGCTGGCCAACAGCACTGTGGGTATTCTTGGTTTGGGGAGGATCGGTAAGTGCAGCATTCACATCAGCGTCTCTCAGTCTACTCCTTTTTCCAACTTTTTCCCATTCATCTAATATTACTATGCATACAGTATATAATAATCTCTTTATATTGCTGTCCACCTTCATTAACACTGTACATACGGTAATATATAGCATCACTAATGCTGTAGTACTTCCTTTTACATAAACTTATCTCCAAATGATATTATACTTTTGTGTTTCTCATTAGATGCTAGCTGCATTTCATTACTGTACTGTACTCTGCACAACAACCATAAAGCTGAATCTAATCTCCATGTTTGCTACTGGGCTCTAAGGCGTGGCTATCGCTGAGCGTCTGGCACCTTTCAAAGTAAAGAAGTTCATCTACACAGACATCGCCCCCAGACCTGAGCTGGCTAGTGCCATTAACGCTGAATATGGTAAGTGATGGATTCATGGTCACTCAGAAGTCTCAGCCAGCATGTTATCCTCTTATGATCAACACACAATGGATTCTCTGTCAACAAGGAGGATAAGAAATATGGGTTTGAGGGGAACTCAAAGCACTGGATTGTGAAAAGCAAATGTCATTTATTCTCTTTTGACCTTTCACATCTCATGTTGAAAGAGCATCTCCTGAAACATTATTGGAGGGAACTAAATTGTTGCAGCCATATAGACAACAATCCAATGTAGTCCTGTAACATCAGTAATCCTTTGTCTTGTTTTTAGTGTCTTTGGATGAGCTGGCAAAGCAGTCAGATTTCCTGGCTGTGTGCTGTGCTTTATCACCAGAGACAAAGGAGATCTGCAACAAGAATCTCTTCTCCAAGATGAAAAATACCTCCATCTTTATCAACACAAGCAGGTATGGTAATGACTGAAGAAGTTATTGCTTTAATCAACTGATCATTTCAGTTTGTTTCTGTGGAAATACACATGTGCATGCCTGTGTTCTTGTTTTTTTTTTTTTTTGTGGTTGTTCTGTTGTGTCAGAGGTGGAGTGGTGAACCAGGAAGACCTATACGAGGCTCTGTCCACTGGGCAGATAGCAGGAGCTGGTTTGGATGTCACTGTGCCTGAGCCCCTGCCCACCAGCCATCCACTGTTTACCCTCAAGAACTGCGGTGAGTCTGTCAGACGTTAGTGCTTCCGCTGCCTTGATGTAGTTGGTAACATAGAGACCGATAAAACCATTCTGCTGTCCTTACCTGCCTTTTGTTTGTCTAATTCTCTTCCCCCACAGTGATTCTTCCGCACATTGCTAGCGCCTCATATACAACCCGTAACGCCATGTCCAGCCTGGCAGCAAACAACCTCCTTCTTGGCCTGCGGGGTCAGCCGATGATCAAAGAGCTGAAGCTTTAAAAAGAAACTGGTTCCACTCTGCAAACTCACTAAATACTGGACATTTAGTCCTTCTTACATGTTTAATTTTTCATCATTGGACTCTGATATATCCAGGACGTTTAGTGTTGTGAGTGATGGCATGTTTCCCCTTGTTGCTTCACTTGTGACTCTTCAGTCAAATATGTACAATAACATTCCCTATTTGTTGTAAAGCCTCTGCCTATTTCATAAAAATGTCACAAGCAAACTGAATTTCATCTTGTTTTTATTCAGTATACAACAACTGAACATACTATACAATCCTTATAGTCTTCAACAGTAAAGAGACAAACACTTAGTCACCTCATGGTTACACTACGTGAGTTATACAGAAAAAACACAGAAATCCTTCAGTTTTGGCATATCAACAAAGCCCGGCTTTTCAAGCTAGAGGGCGTAAGGCAGTGACTTTGATAATAAATTTAGGCCTTTCACATATTTAAAAAAAAACAAAAAACTGGCATATTAATAGAGGGGTAATACAGTCAGTGCATTTTCAGAGATTCACATGAACTGTTAATACAAGTTTTAGCAGACAGCACCATTGTAAATCCTAACAGGCCTTGGTGTGAGACATGGTAGCTATTTTTGAAGACATCTCTTTTGCTTCATCACCTCTACAACTCTGTTTTTCAAAAGGACATCAAAGATACCTATTTTCATGACTAGAGGTGATGGTGATCACATTTGAAATTCAACCATCAGTGGTCATTTTAAACTCTGTAGCCATACTTAAATGACTTTACTATTGATTCCATAATGTCACAAATTCTAGATTAAACAGTAGGTTAGCTTATGTTTATAGGGAGGCCAACCAAGAAGGCAAATTTTCTTAAAAACGTAAAGATTATCTGTTAACGTATGTGTCAAATTAAAATGTAATTTTGTACAGGCTAACAGTGTAATGACTTAACAGTACAATAAGGTGCCAACTAGGAATGAAAGCAATGACCATGTCTCACTGACAGCGTAGGTGTCACAATACATCAAGCAATAAAGTATACAAAAAGGCAAACATGTATTTAAAGTGTTACTTTTTCATCTCAGTTCACTAAAACAGAACTCTACAACACCGTTTTCAATCAACAAATTGTCGACCCATGAAGCTGCTCTTTTTTTTTTTTTTTACAACCTGCATTAAGTCTGGCAGGTTGATGTAAAAATCAATGATATAATCGTATTTTCTATGAGATGCAAATTTCGATTTTCTCTCAGCGTGATATTTTTGAATCTTACACAAATCGCTAACTGAAACACAGTTGTCAAACTTACAGTTTACGACAGCACTTACCAATTTACATGTAGACGTTAAAATACACTTACATACATTTAAAAAAACAGCTAAAACTCCTGAAATTAACAAGAAAACAAAAGACAAAATGTCCCACAAAAACCTTTGCTTTTCTATTATCCTTTTGTGAAATAGTTCTTCATTGATACATTTTTAGACAAGTGGAAGTCCTGCATAATCGACTGCTTGCTGAAGAAAAAAAAAGTTAAACTCTTGGCTTTCATACTTAAAATAATGGTAGCATGACAGAAGGAAGGAACCTCGAGTTCGCAGGATAACTGCAGTACAACAACGTTTTTACATAGTTCAACATTCCAGTAAACATATTAGTTATAAAAAAGACTGATTTGTCTAAGTGCTTTTGTAACAGATGCAACATTATATGTAGAAAGAGACATGTATAAAGCACTCATATCCAATACAGTAGCAAACTTTTACACAATGTTTACTTCTTAATGAGTATTTTTTTTGCCTCGTTTCAAGAGAGAAATTGTGTAACCGACCATAAATGTGCAATATTTACATTTCTAAAGCATTTTTTTCAACACATGCTGAACTCCTGCCCTTCAGCACAACTTCACTGCCCTTTTAATAAACACACAAAAACACCAGCTGCCAGGGAAACTTTGCAATGCGTGGACGGTTGGTAAACTTGTTGGCCACAGCTGAACTTTTCAAAACATTTACAGTCAGCAACCAATAAGTCGGAAAAGTTGTGTAGGGCCAGATCTTTCAAAACTGAAAACCCCAATTGTTTTTCAAATCACAACAAAAAATAAGTTCTATAAGCAGCACATTTTCCTGTCAAGCTGTTTTAAAATGGCACTTTAATGCAGTACTACCTATTAGTTTTCTCAAAAATAGAAAAAGTCGAATAAATGCATACTTTTTGGTGCAAACTGACTCTTTTCCCACCTCCTAATTGCTCAGATTTTTTTTATTTTTTTGCTCCTCTTAACTACGCAACTTAATTCTAAAGTAAACAGCGAAGTCACAAATTGGTGCAAGGTTAGAGTACTTGAGTTTCCCATTTGCCCAAAACTTGTACGTAACAAACAACAACTACAGTTAGACAGCTACTTTTATAGTCATGAGAAGTGTGAAGACCCCATCAGGACAAACTGAATTGTTTACCATCAACCAGAAATATTTTATACCTTAATTAAGTGCAGAAACGTTATCAATGATGGTTATTCAAAGCTGCTTGTACTGAAAGTCAACTGCAAATATCCCAGATCAATTTGAGTAGATTTATATGCATGAAAATGCATAATCAGCTATTGAGGAATGTGGAAACAGTTTTTTTTTGGTTGCTCATTTCCTGGTAAAGAATGCCAACTACCTCTAATGCCACTACTTCAGTAAATAAAAGAAAAAAGGTCATAATATGGAGTTCATTACATTTTCTTTGCATAAAAACAGAATGAAAACTCTAATGCAACACTAGAGTCTCTGCAATCTTCTCTTGGTTAAACTTTCACAAAGCTACAGATTTCACCATTATACTTCAGCCTGAATCACAGACTGGACTCTGACTCTATTCCCCATTTTTGTACAGTATCTCTAAGCTTCATGAGCACACAATCATCAGTTCATCGTACTTTTAGAAATGATATCTGGCATCCAAACTACGAATCAGATGTCCACAGTTTATATGATGGCCCTTGCACAAAACAAGGCACAGTCAATATGCACAGCTGGGATGATTCATGACAGATGCTGCTACATGTTTTACAAATGTGCAGTGAAAAATGTACGTACAAGATTTTACATGATATCAGTTCTTAGGGCTGATTCTGCAGAGCTGCCTCTGATCTGCCAACACTCTGAGTGTTGTAATGATTGAATCAAATTCGCTCCGATACACCACAAACTACAGATCAGCACTGAGGGATCACCTCAACATAACTAAATTCCTTTTAATCAGGTCCCACATGATTGTTATTATTATTGTTGTTTTTTTTTTTTTTAACAAAACACAACATTGTCAACAGTTTTGCAGTTTTAAAAGACAAGACATGGACTTGCCTGGATCATATTATGCAAACTCCATGGACAACTTTTAGCAGCTTGATAGTATTTGTCTGTCTGGAAAAGAAAATGTATAATTACATAATTATCCCTATCTTTGGTCTATGATCAGGACTGGTTGGCTTGGACAGAGCAGATGATCAGGTCCGACTGTTCTGTCTGAGCTTCAGAAACTCTTCAGCATTTTGGGAGGCTTTAACCTCAGCCCATCACTGATTATCAGTGTATTCGTCTTATCGCCCCACACTAGCCACATCTGCCCTACAGCAGGGCATTGGACATGTTGCTGTTCTGCCAGCGCAGACAGGTGGTCTTGGAATGCTTGTATAGATGTGAGGACTGACTGAAGCGTTTCCCACACTTGAGACATGCGTAGGGTTTCTCTCCTGTGTGGACGCGGATGTGTTTCTTGCAGTCAGTCAGGGTGAGGAAGGTTTTGCAGCAGATTTTGCAGGCATATTTTCGTGCTCCTTCAACCACCAAGACATTGTGCTCCGAGAGAGCCTTTTTGCACTTAGAAAGAACATCTGCTGAAGCTCGGGTGAGCTGAGGAGGTAGAGAGGTGGGCCTGCCACTGTTCATCTCATACCCTCCACTCTCGTTTAGAAGCAGGGGACTCGTCAGACTTGAAGAAGAAGAGGCAGCATCCTGAAGAACCCCACCTACTCCTTCTTCTCCTCCCATGCCAGTGGCCATTTTTGGAGCAATACGCCTGTAACCTGGATAACCCAGAGCTGTAGTAGCTGCTCCTCCAGCTCCTCTTGAAGGTCGCCCCAAAGAGTGAAGCCCCAGACTAGAGCGCTGGAAGTCCAAACCAAAGGGATCTACCCCTCCACGTCCTCCACTTGCACTTCCCCCACTTCCTCTGGGGTTTCCCAAACTATCATGCAGGGGGCGAAGGAACAGAGAATCAGCCTGCAGGTTATCTCCAAAGCTGTTTCTACTCTCACCGCTAAGTGGACCTGACTGCAGAAGAGCAGAAGAAGCAGATCCAGATGGCCCAGCAGCTTCCTGTCTCAGCAGAAAGTGATGTGCTACAGCATCCCCAGTTGTTGTATTAGGAAGGTCATCCTCTCCTGTAACCAGCCCCGACGTGCCACTTGCAAAATCCTTGGGGCTGAGAAAGCTGGAAATACTGAAACCTGGTTTGCCACCCAGTGCGCTGTTACATGCGAAGCCTCCTCCAACTCCATTGCCTCCTCCCATGCCGCTCTTGATGAGGAGCTGGGAGTTGGGCTGGAGCAGAGAGTCGGAGCTGGGCTGGGGTTCAGAGGTGAAGCTGCGGTCGCTGCTCTCTGGGCTCAGCTCCACCTTCTCCTCCTCCTCCTGGCACCCAGGCTCAGCCGGGTCACTGCCTTCTGCTTGAGATGTTACATCGCTGACTTCATCAGCTGGCTCAGGCGAACTAAGGGGCTCTCGTTTAACCACCACCTGTGAAAAGCAAAAAACAGAGAGATTTAGATTTTTAAAAAGCCAACTAAAAAATAACTATGCAGTTTAAATATGTTCCCCAAATCAGTTAAAACAAACAATACCTTTTTTAACACAAAATAAATCCTCCGAACCCAGAAATCTGCCAGCAGTTTGGAAAAGCGCGTTATCTTTTTTTTTTTTTTTTTAAATCCCCCCAAAATGCATCCAAATCTAAACTTAAAATGGAAATATATTAATTAAATATTTTTTTCTACATGTCTCACTTGAAAAAACTTCCAAAAACATAGCTTGGACTTGGAAGAGTTTTGGGTGAAACTGGGTTGAACTGCAGGCTGTGTTTACACAGTACAGGAGACAAGTATGGAAACAGTTTAAAAAATAAGCGGTAAAATGTCAACAGCATGCAGAGCCACTATTACTTTTTCAATGTTGGTAACACCCGTGGGCACTTAAAAGATGCTTTACAACTTCTATAAAATATATAATTGAAGAAATTCAACATTTAAAAAAAATTTACGACACTATAACTGTCTTATATTGCACCACAGAGATTTTGGAGTTCTCTCTACTTCTTTTCATGTTGGAGTGTGGGTCAATAATCTGTTCACCACACAATCAACAAGGGGTACCAATTTCCTGGAGTTTGACATAATTTATTTTAAGATTTTATGGCTATGTTGGAATATATAGGTACAGCGATTTACACAGTTCAGTCGCTGTTAGAAAAATTTTCACACTTGCTTCTGTCTTCATGTAAGTGAAAACTCATGTACTGTATAACAACATCTTGATGGCCTCCCATCTAAATGATGGACAGCTTTGCTTTAGAAAAAGGTTTTACCGGCATCTAATTTCATCTAAGGCAATTTCCTCTCTATTTCTGACACAGTACGGTCATGCTTTGTTGACATGTCATTGGCAGCAGATGCTATTTTGTCACAAATAACATGAGTCACAACTTTACCTTCTGTTCCTCCTCTTCGGCCTCCTCCTCTTCTGTTCCAGATTTTATCTTCACCCCTGCTCTGTTGTCCTGGTGATCCTGCTCATCCATGTCTTCTTCCTTGCTCACCCCTCCCTGCATTCTCCCTAAATTGTCCCCCTCACAGCGTCCACTGTCTGACTGACTGGGCATCTGAGGATCATCTTGAGACACCGCTACTAACCCAGTGATTGCAGCATCTAATTTGGATTCATCTCCCATCTTGTGGGAGTCCGGGGACAGAAGTGCTCCCTCCTCTCGCTCTGCATTCACCCCTTCCTCTCCTAACAACCCCAGGTTAGGGGCAGAGGGGCGCTGTCTCTGTCTGGGCCGCTCCTCTGAAAGCCCCAGGGCAAGAGAGGGCTTCCGTTTGTGGAAACGCCGGATTGGAAAAGAGGCTCTCTGTTCGACCGCTCTGCTGCCGACTACATTCCCCACGCCGTCCTCCTCCATCCCACCCAAAGCAGAACTCACCAAGCTAAGCCCCAGCTGCTGCAGCAAGAAGGAGCGCTGCAACTTTGATGTGGCAGCATTTGCTGCAAGGTTAGCATTAGCTGCGAGAGTCGGATTCACTGCTAAATCTGCTACTTGCTGCTGCCTGTGCCTTTGCTGCTCCTGCTGAGGGTGGTGATGGGTGGGTCTGTCAGATGAGGGGGACATAGGTAGCGTGCGCGTGGTCAAGTAGTGTTTGCAGGCCTTGACTACATTGTTGAGGTGCAGATGTGAGGCTGCGAGAAGGATATCCATGACATTGCTCTCCCCCAGCATTAGTGTTGACGTGTACATCATGTCCACCAGAGCAGCGAAAGCTTCCGCTGTCACCACCTGCAAACATAGCATTATTAGAGTCACTATAAACATTATCAATATTAATTATCAATATTTATGGTTTAAGGTTTTAACCTCGCTGTCCAGCTGGATCATGTTCATGCTGGCATCTCCCTCTGCAACAGTGAACAGGGCTCTGAAGTGGGTGCTGCAGGCTGCTAGCACTGAGCGGTGGGCCTTAAAGTGTCGGCTGCCCACTACAATGACACAATCACACAGCTGGCCGTGAACACGCTGATAGTTAAGCTGTTGAAAGATCTGCTCGAAGTGGCCCGGGAAATCCATGGCCCTGCAGGTATGAACAAGCAAAAGATGTGGCAAAATCAAATGACAGTTACAGAGCTGAAATTATTAATCGATCAGCAGAACATTAATCAACACCAAATATTCTAAATTGTGCTGCTCTTCTGTTTTGTTAACACAAGTTGTGGTTCTCTGAGTTTGCTCCGACATAACAAGCAACTCTACAGTATCACCTGGAGCACAGGGAAACTTGATGATTCACTGACAGGTCATTGTTTAGGTGACTAAGCCACAGATTAAGTGCTGCCACTAGTTGCAGCCCAGGAAAGCATGTATGATGATGAGGATGGAATCATAAGCTAGTTTCTTTGAGGGGGCTGATACTGTTGTGTTGATACAGTGCTGTCATCCCTGACTGAAAGGCCGGATGTTGTGTTCCTGGGGTGAAGGCCTACAATAAGTTCAATGGAATTATTTATAGATGTGCACTAGGATCAGTGTCTTCCTGGGTGTTAAATTTCTTGCTATAAAGTCGCTTACTGTGAAATAGTTAGTGCCTAGTTGTGCTTAAGGCAGGTGGTAAACATTACAGGTGCACTGACAACACAGTAGCTTCAGAGTACAGTGTACTCTGCACAAGTCTAGTCTGGCTAACACACGAATAGTTAGCTAATGTTATTAGTTAAAGTGGCACAAAAAAGCATTCTGTCGTTACAACAGTGAGAACAGAGAGCGAGTAGTCTCTAACATTACCTTGAATTTTTCCGAAAATGCAGGTATCAAGAAGCAGAACAGGGCCCTGATCAGAAAAGCTAAAGTTAGCTGGCTGCAGCCCAGAAAATGTCCTGCTAGCTAGAGCACAATCAGCGGCATACGGGTACCGGGATGGCCCCGCTTGTTTATATCCACACACTGTTTTCCCCCACAAAATGTCCCCTCAAATGCCGCTATGTGTAGCTAACATTTCCGCTGCTACGCCTCTTGTTCCCTGCGGTCCACTTAGTTACCGGACGGTTCGACTGTTGGGCCGAAAGCTGCCCGTGTGGATGTGCGGTGTCACGGTGACCGTTGGTCTCGAATAGCCGGACACGTCTGTCCGTCTCACCGCCTCGCCACAGGCACATACAAATACCGGTGCAGATAATAATAAAGACTGGCTATCAGGCATCATCCGGGAGCGACATGCATGTGCTGTAATATCTAATAATTTCCACGCACTCAGACGGTTTTTCCGAGCAGACTCACAGGGTGGCGCTGTGCTTCACTTCCATGTCCCTGACCCCGCCGAGGTGAGGAGCTGCAGCTGCTCGACATCACCACAAGATGGCGCTGCTGCGGCCTCACAGCCTGCTCGGTAAAAATCATAGACGTGCACAGTGTATGAATATATACAGTTATTATTAGGGTCCGAGCACCCAAAAGGGTGCGAAGACCCTATTGGAACTGCTCGGATTATTATTATTATTATTGTTATTACATCTATTCACCCTAAATCTATATTCAATCAGTAAAAAATATATAAATAATCATTTATAAATTTACTGTTATTTAAAAGACTAAATGTGTATTTTAAGGATTTAAAATTCAAAAATAAATACAGTATTAAGAATAAATGCAGTATTAGTAAAAGTGCAAGATGCAATCAGTGCAAAGAATTGTTCAGATTTTACCATGATGATGCTGATGACATAAGTGTGGTTTATGTTAACATCATCCAGTGATACTGATGTTGTACAGTCATACAGCAGATGGTATGAATGGCCTGCGATAGCGCTCCTTCTTGCAGGGTGGATGTCTCAGTCTGCTGCTGAACGAGCTGCTTAAAGCCTCCACAGTCACATGGTGAGAGGGGTTGTCCATGATGGATGTAAGCTTGGGCAACATCCTCTTCTCACCCACCTCCTCTATGGAGTCCAGGAAGCAGCTCAGGACAGAACCGGCCCTCCTGACCAGTCTGTTCAGTCTCTTTCTATCCCTGTCTGTGCTCCCCACTCCCCAGCAGACCACTGCATAGAAAAGAGCAGACACCACCACAGTTTCGTAAAATGTCATAGCTAGTAAAGTCAAAGAAAAAAAGTAGTAATCTACACGTTGACTGTAAAAAATAAAAATAAAAAAATAAAAAAGCAGGCTCAAAGTGTACATATTGTCCACTTCAAAACTCAGTATTTTTGCAAATGATTTTTACAACGTGTAACTGCATGTAAATCAGCTAATGTTGTCACTATTTTATAGATATTTGCTGCAATTCTCACCGTTTTTACAGTTTTTAAACCTTACAGTAGTCTACAGTTTTGTTTTGTTTTTAAAGTGTTTCTTTTTAATGGTGTACACTGCCAGAAATATAATAATAATAATAATAATAATAATAATAATAATAATAATAATAATAATAATTACTACTGTGATAATATAACCGAAAATGGGATGTCCACCAGCATAGATATGTATCTATGTCCACAATTGTGGAAATACCGGAAATGCTGGTCCGCCCTCCACACCTCTTGGTGGCAGTCATGCGCCAGTTTTTCCAACCGACAACAAACGTCAAAGAAGAAGAAGAAGAAGCCGGACGACAACAGTCATGGCTGCGTCCTGCTCGTTCGTGTGCTGCGGAGAGGAGACAGATACCGACAAAGCTGTTATAGGTGACTGTCTTATATTTGTATCATGTCAAAACTTTTTTTGAATTAAAATAAATGTAATAATGGCAGTTAATGTTTAGGTGTGCTTAGCTGGTTGTTTAATACATCCGTGTGCATTACACACGTGGGCGCCAGCTGCAGTGTTTAGTTGCGTGTCCAGGCTTCTTTCCACGTGTATTATCAATGTACTCCGTGTCCCCAAACGTTGCACGATGAGAGTTTTAACGTTGTGAATGTGTTCGTTACTTTTGATCATTTGTGAAACATCATTAATATGTTGACATGTTTGTCTTTCGCACAGTCCGCTTTTCAAATGGCAGCGTCAAAAATGCAAACAGGCTGGATTTCTCCATGTACAAGAACACAGATGAGATTAACCCAAGAAAAAAGAGCAGGCGGATACTGGTGAGAAAGACGACGGACTGTTATGGCTTTACACCTGTTGCAGTTGTGTTGCTCTACTCTCAGTGTTTTCATTGGTGTGTCTCTTGTCTTTTCCTCTCAAGGTTGCTGAATCAGACAGACTGTCCTATGCTGGACACAATTTTGGAACAGGATCACTGAAGTGCAATAATCTTTGCAAGTAAGTGAATTAATCTTGTTTTGACACATTACACATGCTGTCACTGTAAAAAGAATTAATAAGTGTGATGTTTGGTGTCTGTTTAGATATTATGTTGGTGTGTTGAACAAACAGACCATGCAAATGGAAGTGCACAATGCTCAGCTCTTCAACATGCAACCAGTTATACCAGGTAAAAGGAAAACAATCACCAACAATCTACAGTGCCTATAAAAAATCTGTACCTCTCTTTGGAAGTTTTCCACTTTTATTACTTTTTAACATTGAATTGTGTTCAGTTTAATGTGACTTTTTGACAAGAATTTACAAAAAACAAACACATTCATGTCAACGTTAAGACAGAATTTTAAAAAGTAATGGCAGTTAGTTAAATATGTAAAAAATATAAGTGATTGCATGAGTATTTACCTCTTCAAGTTAGTATTTAGTAGCTACACAGTTGGCAGCAATTATAGCTTTGAGCCTGTGTGGATATCAACATCTGAACAACGCAATTTTACTAGATTCATCTTTGCAAAACTGCTCCAGCTCTGTCAGGTTGAGTGCAATCATTTACTTAAATTTTATGTTTGTAATTTATTGACATTACTTTGTAGAAATCTGTATTTATTTGGACATTAAAGAGTCCTTGGGGGGAAAAGGGTAATAAAATAACAAATAAAATAAAACTGACCATGTTGGAAGCAATAGAAGAGGAACACTTTTAGCTACTTTTAAAAAGGTACTGTACCTAGCCACAATCACCGACAGCTCTCTAAAAGACCAGATCATCTTTGGAAAAGGAAACTGTACAAAGCTTTGTGTGGCCTGCGATTTTGTCAGTGTCAATATATCTGACTTTGCAATGTTTCGTTGCCAGGAGAAACAGATACTGCAAAGTCCCAGGACACAACTCAGACCTACAGAGACAAGGTACACCAATTAGTCCTGTTGTTCTTAGAGTGAAAGAACACTGTACTCAAATAAGAGAGAAACTGCTACGAATGTCTCAATCTTATCGGACATTTTCTCTTTAGGTTGACTCATTGATTGAGGCCTTTGGCACCAACAAACAGAAGAGAGCTCTGAGCTCCCGCAGGCTCAATCAGGTGGGCAACGATACTCTGCAACATGCAGTGGCTAAGGCTGCCAACACTGTGATTGACAAGAAGGGTCTGGAAGGTAAGCTACACAGTCACTTTGTCAAAGACGCGTGTGAGTTTGTGTTTTCGGATGCTTCTTGTTGGCAAAATATGGGAGAAGTCAATAAAGGAAAACATAAGCTAACCTTACATATGGCTCCTTGAGTTGTCATCTTTCTCACCATGTTCTTGTTTTGGTGTATGTTTTTTTTCACCTCTCTCTCTCTTTAGCTCTACAACAGGAGGTGGCAGAGACAGAGTCGCAGGGAGAACTGGCTCTCCACCTGCCACCCTGCAATGCAGACGCAGACAAACAAGAGGACGTTTATCCATTTGATGATCGTATCTTTTATTTTCTCTGTGTCTGTGTGTGTGTGCGTCAATAAGAGAATGCCGATAATAGATTTTTGTGTCAAGAGCCAAAGCAGTTTGTTTTTCAATCTCCATCCTTAATCTATATCTTCAGTCCTGAGTCCAGTAGAGTTTGAAGCTTTAGAGCAGGCTGGTTCCAAGATGGCAGCATTGACCCCTGAGGAGCTGCAGAAGATGAGAGATGACGGAGGGTAGGACAACAAGGCGCTTATTGAGACATTTTACTAGTCAAGTGTTTCCATGCATTCTAATTTTGGTTTGCACTTTTCATTTGAGGTGCCTGAGTGTTGTGAGGCACCTAGAAAACCTGCCAACTACAGACAAAGCCAGAGAGAAAACAGCTCGCTGCGCCTTTTATCTTTCTATGCTCCTTAAACTGGTGCGGCAGAGGAGCATCAGCCGCAAATGTAAGTCATGTTTTTAGATTTCATCCTAAATGTATGTAAAGTGCTTTACAAACTTGCTGTTCACACATTGACAAATATAATAATCCATGTTTATGTGTACAGTTGGGCAGGAGGAAGGCTGCCCTCGCATCATTCAGAACAAACTCTTCAAAACGTTCACTGTGGAGACTTTCAACAACGGCAGGTGTGATAATGGTCATGCTGCAAGCTTCTGTTTAGGTGGATTATGAAGTAAAACTTTTGTAGCAGCTCTCATTATGTGGCGATTCATTCATCAACACATGCAGCTTGCAACTTGATATTAAAAATCCGTTTAAAATGCTTTTTACTTTGAATGCCAGGTTTCCATTTCATGAGCAAAGTGGCTCTTTCTCATGTAGAATTTTACACCACTCAAGCTTTATTCACATATTTTTTGTTACACTGATTCACTATGTGGTTATTCAGTCCCCCATAAAAACACACAATTATTTAACTTTTAACTGTACCTTTTCCTTTTAGGCTGCAGAACACAGTGTCTGCATCGATACATGCCAAAATAGCAGCGTACTGCCTGGCTCTGCTGCTGCATTTGGGTCACATGACTGCTGACCTGACATTACTGCACCGTGATCTGAGAATCACGGAGGCCAGGTAAGAAAAAAGGGCCAGAGAAGTGTAACACTGTGTTGTTATACATGGGTATCATTTAAGTGTTTCCATTTAAATAACACAGGCAGACTATTGCTAAGGCCAGTAGTGTCAACTCAGCCCCATTAATTCATGTTTTTTTTCTGTAGTGGTTTTGCCACATTTCAAGCTCTAAAAAGTACAGTTCTTCTTGAATACGAACTGATTCATATATTTCCCAATAGGATGATTGAAGTTGCAAAGTCAATGGGATTGACCCTAATTCGACCAGCTCGTGCCAAGGCTGATGAAGCTGGACTGCAAGATAACCACACGCAGGCCTCTCTTGTTCTCCCTCTGGTCAAATATGATCAGCTCATTGAGAGGCGAAAGCGCAAGAAGATGCACTGAAGGCCATAAGAAATGACAAGAAGTGGACACTGGAAAAAGGAACCGTAACAATTGGAAATACAACAAACCAGACTTATTGTATTTTGTAGACAAATAAAGTGGTGAACTTTGAGTTATACATGATATTGTTACTTAATGCTTACACTTCAATATACAAAAAAAAGCAGACTAACGAGTTGTAAACAAATTCTAGATGACCATACATCTAGCTTTCAAAACGTATAGGCACATTTGTAGACATCACGTATTGCACACTAAACATCTTTTTCCCTCTCTGACTGGCTGTTACCCAGTGGGTCTGTGTGGTTTTGAGAATATTTAGAACTTGTCTTAGTAAATTTGGAAGTCAAAAAAGCTGAGGTGTCACATTTTCAAAACATGGAGGAAATTGTACAAGAACAGAGACTCACCAGGAAACAGAACAGCTCTGTGCAAGAGGCAGAAGCTTAATTTTGGCTTAAGTTTTTTTTTTCTCCTTGCATATACACCTCACACTATGAACGCTCCTTCCCTAGCTACAATCATTGATTGATTTAAAAGTCAAGCAAGGCACAGCTTTACTTTGTACAATGGTTGAAGCTGGCATCTCTATAGCCTTTTGACTCCTGCTAGGATTTATAAATGTGCACTTCCTAACCAGAGAGTCCCAGAAGCAAACTGACAAAACCAACATAATCTACAGTAACTGAAAACATGACTAAGGTAAAGCTTTAGTGGTGAAATGGGTATCAAAGATGCAGGATGATGACAATGCTTGAATGTGTTGTACTCAAGCTTCATTTCAATAGTCCACACTTTTTAAGTTCACTAGAATTTTTTCATAAAATTACAAAAGGCTGATTTACAAAACGTTGTGTGCCACCCTCGTATACTGGTCCCTTGAGTGTTTTTGGTGCAACCTTCTTTTTGGATCATTTTACCCAAGAGGGCATCCTTTTGGAAGGTCTTCACTGTGTCCGTGCTCCACATATACGGTATACACCAGTTAAAAACTGACCACATGCTGACCTCTTGGCATTGGTTTGTCAAGTGCTTGCCAGTATTCACAGGATGGAGCAGAACATGCTGCCATTGTGGCAACCACTTTCCACAGTTGCACTGATCCTGGTGGTCATGGAAATTCCAAGTCGGGAAGGATACTGGGACGAAGAGAGACCAGCAGGAGAGCTTGCCAGTGGGCGAGGGGGAGGGTTTTCAAAAACCCAGGGTGGAGCAGATGTACAGCTGGAAAAAAAAGAGAAAAAATACAAAAAGTAAGTGTACTTTATTATTAGCAGATCCCCTATAAGTGTATTTTCCGTGCTTGTTAGCTGTGGCTAATTGATGTCTACCTGGCAAATCCAGGCTACATCCTGAATGACATACTTTGTTTTTTTATTTTCAGGTAATAGTACAGCTGGCCTTGCAAAGTATGTACTATTCAATGCAGGATGCATACAACTGAGACATACAGTATTGTCAGAATAATGCATCTAAAACTTTCACAGTTGCAGTCTGTAGAGGGAATTGAACAATCACCTGTCTGTGCTTTTACAGCTCTTCAGTTTGTTTATGCTCCAAGACACTATAATGTATGTGAAGTAGTGTGCAGAAGATTGTGGGTCAGGATGGCCAGACAAGCTGCTGGCTTGCATACTGCAAAATCCCACCAGGTGTAGTTAGAGATCCTGGTATTTTTTTGCATATTATATTTGACATACTATATATTTAAACCTACTAAATCTTTTTGTGGCATACTATATAGGAAGGTAGTATTTATAATGGAGAATCTCACTAAATACAATAATCCCTATTTTAAGATGTTTTGGTCTCCAACACCTGAGGGAAAAATTTGATAAGCTGCTGAATGTTCTATGTTCACCAGCTAGTTGCTGTTTGTGTGCTGTTAGGTGCTGAGCAAACAGTAAATGTTAGATTTTTAGAGCTCCCTCTCAAAGTAGCCTACAGCTTTAACAATGAGTAATTAATTAAAATTAACTATAAAATGGAGGATGGGCTGCACGTTTGTGTGACATTTCTACAGGTTCATCAAATAATGATTATAACCAGTGTGTGGACAGAGAGAGGAGAAAAAGTGCAGACTGCAAAAGTACTGATGGTCTCTAAATGTCTGCTACTTTTGGTGGGTTACTTAGTTACCTGGTATTATGCCTTAAAATACTGTTGTTACGCAACACACAGCTCTCATTGCCTGGATCCATATGTAGCAGTGTTTTTTTGTTTCCGGGGTGACCCTGGAACAAGATATTGTCATGGACAACACCTTTTACTGCCCCGAGCACAGCGATGCCACAGCTCTGTGCTGGTTGGACACGGTTGCGCACTACCTAACAACAAAAATCATAAAGAACACAAAGGTACACAAGTAATTGAGTGTATCTGAAATAGGCCTAACAATTAAATCCACCTGTATCCATGCTTCACTGCAGCTCACCTTGATATCAGCACTTCCAGACACCTGGATTCCATATGCACGGTTTCCAACTACATCATTCTCCACAATCTGCCCATTTCCACTGAAACTGACACCATGGCCGCTGTTCTCATAGACACCATTACCACGAAGCTCCACTCTGCAGTCTTTCTCCACCGTAACACCACCTCGACCATTTTCGAGAATGCAGTTTGTAACAAGTCGGGTCTGCTGACTGCTCTGCAGCACAGCAATGCCTGGGCCTCGGTTATTGTTTACGAGGTTAGCAAAAACATTCAGGGCCTCACTGCTCTTCACATACAGGCCAACTGCTACAGATAGAGACAGAAAAATGGACAGCATTAGAGATGGACAGTGAGTGACTATCTGTATTTGATGCAACAGATCAGCTTACTACCTCCATTGTAGCTCATGCAGTTGCTCTCCACCAGGGCCACGCTGATGGAGCGACGAGCAGAGTGGCGCTCATCCTCGCTGTCCAGATCGCTCTCCCAAGCAAACAATTCCCCTTCTTCATTGAAGTTCTCCTGCCCTTCTCTTCCTTCTCCCTCAACTCCCCTCCTCTCCCCATTGCCTCCATCTCCACCAATTCCTTCCTGTCCAGGCCAGTTCCCCTCCCTGGCCTCGATGTTCTCCGGGTCCTTCCTGCAGAACACTGCCAGCCCATACATACAGTTATGGATGATGTAGTTTCCTAGAAGCTGTGGGAGGCTGGATGACATAACCCACACACCACAGCCTTTGTTACCTAAACAGATCAGAGGAAAGGGGAATGAAATGCCTTTGCCATTGCTGTTGAAGAAGAGTTATGTCGAGATATATTCTTTGTATGATACTGTCATTATGAGGCTGAAATTACATACAGTAGACGTGGTTTCCCTCAATAAGTCCACGCCCTCTCTCTCCCACCACCACGCCGTCTGAATAGCCATAACAGATGTAGTTGCTCCTCAAGATTGGGTCGCCTCCTCTGCGGATGTCCACACCCCCCCATTGGTTCTCTCTGATCACATTCTCTGGAATTAAAGAATTTAAATGTAATTACAGGTAGAAAATATGAAAGGATCACAACCCAAATAGTGCTTTAACTTGAAGAAAGAAAATTAAAACGAAGAACCAGTTTTTCAAGCCGATGTGTGATGTAGTTGAGGAGATGTGAATGACCCACATGCATACCTGTTATCATCCCTCTGCCATTCTCATTAATAGCGATCCCTGCTGCCTGACCTTGGTAGATGTGATTCCCACTAGGAGAGAAAGGGAAGGCAGAACATAAGCATGGAGCAAATGCTGACAAGTTCTGACTTTGTCTCTGCTGCCACACTGGACTTGGTTTGCTTGTTTATGTGTGCATCTGCAACTCAAGCATCTTACAACCTGCTTATACCACACATCTGCTGCTCAGTTATGCACATCAATAGCACTTATTAAGCTGCTTGAGCTAAGTTAGCGAGCCATTTAACACCTCAAGTGGTTCATTCAGAGAAAGAAGATTTTCAAGTTTTTTGTTTTTGTTTTTCTAACATGTCCATATAGTGTTTTTATACGCAAGAAGACATGCCATGAGTGAAATAATAAGTCAATGCCACGGCTGTGCATTTCCACCTTCTAACAGTACAAATGACCATTTCAAAAACATGGATTCAGACTTTCAGGATTTCATATGTAGGAAACCTAAAGAATTAATCCTGTCTACATCCAGTGTGAGGTCTACCATATCATTATTCTTATTCAGAGTCAGTTTCTGTTTCAAACGCATGACTGAATAACTTCAATTAATTTAAAGACAAACAGGGATCATTTTCATAGAAGAAAACAAATCTAAATATATAATTCTGATGTATGGAGTTGAGTGTTTAGGAGTTTTTTGATTAACTGTAGAGGCACTTTAAAGCTTGTCTGGAAATCTGTATAAACGGTGCAAACACCCTATGTAAGATAGTGCAGATGCAAATGACAAAGTTAATAAGATGGATTTCCATTTTAGGAATCTGCCATACATGCTGGCGATCACATTGTCATGGCTTACTGGGACACATGAATAGAATGGAAGCATCTTTTAGTAACATCTGTGATTCTGCTATGACACCTCAAGATATTTGCTGTGAAAAAAAGGTGTTTTATAGAGGTGTTTTTTTCCCACTAAACAATACTGCTTTCAATTGATAAGTTGCAAAAAACAAATAGCGATGCTGTAAAACAGTGAGAAAACCCATCTACAATCTGTATGAACAATCTGAGTAATATCCCAATAATGGGAAAAGCAGGGACTGTACATCCCTGGACAAGTTTGGATGTTTCTGGAGTCCAACCTACCTCACCACAGGATTTCCACTGAAGAGAATATACACTCCCGCTTCCTTGTTGTTATAGATTTGGTTGCTCCGAATTGAACCTTTTCCATTGCCAAGGACAACAACCCCAGAACGCAAACCACTGTGTATTCTGTTGCACTGTGCAACAGAAGACGGAGAGAGTAAAAACAGAAGAAAAAAAAACAAGGCTAACATCAGTTAATGTGGATATATACCTACTGATATAACATTTAAAGCAAATGCTAGCTTTAATGCATTATTTTTATTGTGATTGATGAACACAACAAGCCCCAAAGTTGCAGACAAGACACTCGTGCACTTAAGAAAATCATCTTATCCATCACAACTGGCCATGACATGCTGCTGA